AACACTATTGGAAAAAGGTTCAACAATCAACAGTGCTTATAGTGAGATACTCCCTGAAGAGCTGAAGCCTAAACTTTGGATTAAAAGCAGAAGACTGCTATCCAAGGACCTTGTAATCTTGCATGACAATGCACATCTACACACCTTTACCCACTCTGTTGACACTCTGCAAAAACTTCATTTTGAAGTGTTAAAGCATCCGTGATATAGCTCTGATCTTGCTCCAACAGACTTTCATCTGTTTGGTCCCCTGAAAGCAGCCCTTGGAGGATGAAGTTTCACTTCTGATGAAGAAGTCCAGACAGCAGCGCATTCATGGCTCACAGCTCAGCTGAAATTTTTTTTTTTTTTTTAATAAGGGAATAGAAATTTTGTTGACAGATGGATGAAGTATACTGAAAAGCAAAGAGATTACGTCAAAATAGGATGTATTTGTCTTTTCTAAAAAAATTGATTAAAATAAATTCTACAGTCAGAATGCAGATCTTTTTTTTATTCAAACTTGCATATTACACGAGAGGCTATTGCCCATCTTTCTAGAGACTATTTTATCTATCACTCTTTCTGTCTGTCTGTCTGTCTGTCTCTCTTTCCTGTTGGTTTTAAAGAAACAAGCTGTCAAAGATCCTAGAGACACAAATCATGAATTATGCCAACAAGCTGAACGAGGTTGAAAATGGATTCTCCCCTAGACATATTTCAGATGAGAATGCAAGCCAGCAGATACCTTGATTGCAGTATTGTGAGAATCTAAGCAGAGGACCCAACCTAAGCCATACCAAGACTCACAGACACTGTGAGACAGTAAATATGTGTTGATTTACAGAGTACTTGTGTAATTTATTGGTAATTTGTTACATATAATGTAAAACAAATTCATCCTGTGATAACTTAAATCTCTTGTCTTGTGCATCCTTAAATTTAATCCTCTCACTGTACTGTTAATGCCTCCTAGCTGCCATCTTGACTCCTAAGAGCCTGCAGTAGTTTTAAGATGGATCTGGCCTCTTCTATCATATCATCTATTTTTAAAGCCAAAAATGTATCCTACCCTACTTTCTTGCTCTTTGTAGCTGGAACTTGATTCCTCAGAATAATAATAGCTCTGACCTCCATTTCAGTGAGGCACAGGGAGGAAGGCAATACAGTGTGGGTCACCTGACTAAGGCAAGGTCAAAAGATAGTAATCAAAGGAACCAGAAGTAAGCAATTATTTAGCCCCACTTGTTATATCTGTTGTATAACAATTCCCTGAAGCTATATGTGAAAAGACCTATGTACATGTGCCCTCCATTGGTTCCACTCCGATTCTTTAACAACCTGGGTATAAGCTAATGATTCACAAACTTAATGGAATTGCTACACATTTGTGTAGGATTGTAATGAAGTGATTCCCCTCCACCCCCAGGTACTTGCCCTTCTCAACCACTTGTCCATTGCTTACTTTCCTCAGTTTTCCCACCTGATTCCTTTTCTTCTCTCATCATTCTCTACTTGGGGCTTTTGATAGGGACTCAGTTCAGAGCAAGCATTATCATAAGAAATAATCATTTTGAGAAAAGTAAAAGCATTTATTTTCACTGATTTAATTTCCAAGGGGAATAATCCAACGGAGGTTGACGGGGGGAGTAATAGCAATAGTAATTCTAAGAATGAGAAATACCAAGGAGGTCATTAACAGAACCCTATTTGTTCAAACCTGTTAAGAAGCTGGAAGGCAAAAAGATGATGGCAATCGCATAGCAGGGGAATGCAGTCAGAGAGAAAGTCATAGTCACTGGTTAACCAGTTCATTCTGGTGAGTGCTGGCATGGTTAGGAGTAGAGGTAGCCAGGTGAGCAAAGGGAAATATTTAAAAGCTGGGATAATATGAATGCTTAAAGAAATATGCTCTGTAGAGGTTTGGTGGAAAAATGCCCACAAAAGACATGGTAGGTGTTAATTAACCTGCATATTGATTGGGAAGGTCATTGGTAATATTGAGTAGAAATCAAGATAGCTTTTGTTTTTGTTAGTGCTGTTGAGTTGGTTCTGACTTATAGTGACCCTGGATAGGGTTTCCAAGACATGTAAATCTTTGCAAGAGCAGAAAGCCTCTTCTTTCTTCCACAGAGCAGCTTGGAAGCTCTGTGGCTTGGCTTAAACCACCAACCTTGCAATCCAGTGCTTATCCTATAGTGCCATACCAGGAGTCCTTAACTAACACTTATAAAATCAGGACTACTGTGAACATTTCATAGATAAGAACGTATGTATTCTTAATAAATTGATGTTGTTGTTGCTGTTAAGTGCTGTCGAGTCCGTTCCAATTCATAGCGACCCTGCATAGGGTTTCCAAGGAGCGGCTGGTGAGCTTCAACCACCGACCTTGCAGTCCAGTGCATTAACCCACAGCGCCACACCAGGATTCCATAAGCTGATGAAGTAAATATTATTATTGTCACCTCCATTTTAAATATAAATGATGTAACTGCACTAATAAAGAGATGCAATACCTTTTCCTCTTATTAGATTGTACAGCAAGTAAGTGACAATGTAGTATTTAAACTCTTAATCATGTTGCTCTGAGAAGAAAAATGGAAAAGTTAATAATACTACCCATATACAGGGCACTCTGAGTAGAAATGTTCTATTGAAATTATCTTCATTTCTCTGATTGAACTTGTACTTTCTCTTTCGGAAAACAAAAAAACAACATACATGTGAGCAGATGAAATAGGTATTACTACTCCAGCTTTACGAAAGGGGAAATTACAAATTAAAAAAATGAAATAGTTTAGTGGAAGTCTAGGACTAAAGTTTTGCCTTTTCCTATAAAATACCTTCCACCTTGCCAAGCTTTCTTTTGAAATTTGGGAAACTGTCTTTATCCTAATACTATTTGTTTTGCTTTTGTTAACAAAGGTACCTACGTATTTGTGAAACTGGAAGATTTTGAATCACTATTATCATACTAGTCTATTCTCCCACAACTTGTATCCTTAGCTAAGTAGACATTCAGAATTTGAAAGTTTGTTTATCTTATGAGACAGAGACATCCTTATAAACTTCATCTTTGACAAGCTCAATTTCACCTGTGTGGAGGGCAATACTTGCTGACATCCGTTTTATGATCTTCTCTTACATGTTATTAACAAACACTTTGCATTAAGAAACAAATTACTACTTAAGCACATGTCATTCCTATAGTATTCATTTGTTCTTGTAGATATGCTTCTTTGCAAACAATCCGTTTTCATGTATGCTTATTTTTACTATCTTAGATTTTCTTTTCTTGAGTGACAATATTTGCTTCTCAATTGCAATGCCATTTTGCCAAATAAGAAACAGAGTGAGAGAGATTTCTATAAATCCTAAAACCCAGTTTACAACAAAAAAAATGAGTCTGTCTGATTTGTCTGTTTTGTTGGCAATTGACGAGAAACAAATTTTGCCACCCAAGAAAATACAGCCTAACTTGTGGGGTTGAAAATAAGCATAGATGAAAAGAAATAGAATATTTGGAAAGAAGCATGTCTATAAGAACAAGTGGATACTGTATGTTTAAGTAGTAGTATGCTACTTAATGAAGTCCCGGTATGGCACTGGACAGCAAGGCTGGTTTCAACTGCAAGGTCAGCAGTTCAAATTCACAAACCATTCCTTGGAAACCCTATACAGGGTTGCTATGAGTCAGAACTGACTTGAGGGCATTTAACAACAACAGGAGCATGTTACTTAATACAAAGTATTTCATAAGCGCATGTAAGGGATGATTGTAAAATGTATGTAAGGTACTCTACACAGGGGTGGGACTGACACTGATTACATGGAAATTCTAACCCTTAAACCCGCTTAGTCCAAAGATGAGACGACTTCCCATTTCATTTGGCAATCCTACGCTTTCTCTCAATAATTAGAAATAAATGGCCCAGAACAAGGAGGGTTGATTATCAACAAAGCAAATGGGAGGGGCTAAGCTTCAAAGAACAAGAGAAGCAACTAATCACATGGTGGGGGTTAATGGAGACTGGCAGAGTGACTTTCAATCTTCCAACAGTCACCCTGGGCTGCTTTGGTGAAGGATCAAAAACAGTGCTGATTTTCTAACAGAGAAGAGAACCTATTGGTCACCAACAATCAGCCTTTGACCTTCTTCAAAGTCAGTTTGCTCACCACTGCCTGGAAAAGTGCTTAATTCAGTGAAAAAATGTCTCATCCCTGATTTGTCTTTCTTTTGAGAACAGTGGGAGAAAGTCTACAAAATACAGAAAGGAGTAATAATAGAGGGGAAGGGAAAAAACGCAAAGGAAACCAACTGTAGAGACCATACAAATAGAAACAGAGAAAGAAACCAGAACAAAAGAGGAGACAAAGGCCACAGAAAATAAAAGCTGAAGAGAGCAAGAGAGGAAGAAGAAACTAATTTACTGCAGAGAAAAGTTTCTCTTCTTAAGCTGTCTAGGTCAAGAAGTCGGACATGGTGGTGCAGACCACAGAAAGGAAGCAAGAGATGCATGGTGTCTGAACCTGGAAAAGCAGGAGCAGGGCCTGATGGGAGTCCGAGCCCACGCCGCCACCTCTGCCCTGGTATACTTCATCCAGGTGAGTTCAGTTGCGAAAAGGCCAAAAGAAGACTTTGTTTGCTTATTTAGGCAAATCAACTCCCAAAAAGCTCTAGAAAGAGATGAATAGGGAGAAATGGGATCTATAGAACTAGGGTTTAAGCGGGGAGATGAATAATCACAATGCTTCCTTTATGGATTATGTGAATGCATGAGTGATTGATGAAAATGGACCAAAATTAGAGTGACCATAGATATAAATAGGATAGATTTGTTGTTGTTGTTAACTGCCATTGAGTTAGTTCCAACTCATAGCGACCCTGTATAAGGTTTTCAAAGAGAAGCTGGTGAGCTTGAACCGCTAACCTTGAGGTTCAAACCGACTTTGCAGTCCAGCGCATTAACCCACAGCACCACACCAGGACTTTAAAAGTGTCCTATGTATCTCTTACTTGCTCTGCTCTCTTGTTCTCAACACCTTATTTCCCTGTATTCCAAGTAAAGTATCAAAACTAGCTACTTAATTTCCCTGGATTATCATATTAACCCTGATCTAGTAGTTTAAACGTCTCCAGACCATAAATATATTTAAAGAGGAGAGTCTTAAATACTTTAGACTCTGCTAACCACAAAGTCTGCAGTTGAAATCTACTAGCAGTTCAAATCTACCAGCCACTCAATGAGAGAAATAGGAGGGTTTCTATTCCTGGCTTTCTGCACCCTCGAAAACGCTATACAGGGTCACTATAAATTGGAATCAATTCGACAGCATACAAACACCAACAACCACCACAATAAACCTGAAGCCCCTGAGTAATCCAGTAATTGAGTTTAGTGCCATCAAGTCAGTGCTACCAGTCTGTTCTTAACAATAGACTCCTGTTGTTGTTAAGTACCGTGGAGTCCATTCCGACTCATAGTGACCCTGTACAGAGTTTCCCAGGCTGTAAAATCTTTACGGGAGCAGAAAGCCTCATCTTTCTCCCACAGAATAGCTGGTAGTTTCGAACTGCCAACCTTGGGGTTAGCAGCCCGCTTCGTAACACTACGCTACCAGATCTCCTTTAGTTGAGAGTGTGGTCATTCGTCTGAGGAATCCTGAAAAATTGTCAAGGGCAAGTTAACATGACTATGAAATCTATTAAGTGGGAGAGTAAATGAGGAAAGAAGAGAGTATCTAATTTCTCTACAGCTTCAGGCAGAGGAGTTTTCTTGTACTTCCTGTGTACCAGTTACATTGATGCCTTTCTTTGTTTTTCTTATATTTATTTTTCCTTTCTTCTCCTCTTGCATTTTCTTTCCCATCCTTTCTTTTCTCTTTGCAATAGGCCTGAAAGTGAATTTTTATCAGTTGAGCACTTTAGACTTTTCTGACCTTTACTCAGGAAAGTGAAACAAAGCACTGGACTTGCTAGAGGAAGCACACACTTTGTCATCCAGAGTGGCCCTGTACTTTAAATGAAAACAAAACAGATAGCCAGGACTTTCTCAAATTTCTTCACAAGACTGCTGTCAGTCTTTTATAAATGCTTTTTACTTGATAAATCAGGATTATGTGAGCTCTCTCCTATCTCACCACACGTGTTCTTTCCTCACCAGTTTGTTGTTGTTGTTAAGTGCCGTCGAGTCGGTTCCGACCCATAGCAACCCTGTATAGGGTTTCCAAGGAGCAGCTGGTAAGCTTGAACCACCGACCTTGCAGTTCAAACGACTTTGCAGTCTGGCACATTAGCCCCCAGCACCACCACACCAATTGTTAGCTCCTTTTAAAGGGGATTCACTATTGCTTTTCTAAAATATCAGGTTGGTCAAGTTATTGGAAGAAAGAAACATTTTTAGAAAACAAGTTTACCTAGAAAAACCTTTGAAAAAGAAAGTCCATTGAAATCTAAGATAGAAGAAGGAGAGCAGTATTTGTTTCCAAGGAGTAGAAAAAGACTTAGCAACATTGGTGAATGTTGTAAAAGCAGATGTGCCCATGCTCTATTAATTCATAGAACATACATTTATGATAGGGTTTGATTTGAATTCTGACTACCTCAATGTGTGTGTGCAGTTTATCTAAACTCCTTTGATTTGGTTGTTTAACCTTTCAAAACTATGGTTAAATACACACATCTAATTGGACTCCTGGTGTGATGCTGTAGGATCAGCGCTGGACTGCAAACAAGGTCTGCAGTTCAAACCCATCAGCTGCTCCTCGAAAACCCTATATAAAGTCATTATGAGTCAGAACTGACTCGACGACACTTAACAACTATAATAACAGTATGAGGGGGCTTCAAAAAGTTCATATCAAGAATCTATTCTTTTTTAACTCCATTTTTCTATGAAATCTTGAAGCATCCTCATATACTCAACTACAGAGTTACTGTGATTAAATGTAACAAAAAAATTATGAATTCTTACCAGTCTTACTATTTACCGAATAGTAGCTATTCAACATACACATTTGGGGTTGGATTTGGTGTTGGTTTTTCTTTTCTCTTTTATGATAAGTTATTGCTGTAGTTCTGAGGGAATGAGAAGGGCAGTGAATTCTACTTTAATTTGCAACTGGGTAGGAATGAGGGGAACACTAAGAACATCCTGAGGGACAGATAAGAATGTTTCTGGGACAAGCAAATTGACACAAATGGTTAATTCTCATGCACGGAGACAGTGGTGCTCAGTTACCATTGAAAAAGAAAAGATTAGATATTTACTCTTTCAAGTTTCCCCACTTCTTGCATGCAGGAAGTGTATGAATCATTTTGGAGAGGTCATAGGGTAGAGTTTTGAAGAATGAATTGTGCCCCTGAAAATATGTATTGAAGTCCTGACCCATGTACCTGTAGAGTGATCTTGTTTGGAGATAGAAGTTTTATTTTATAATGGTAATGAGTGTCTATCAGAGGAAGGTAAATCCTAAAATAATCACTTCTGAGTTATTAAAAGAGCAAACGAGACTCAGAGGTACATAGAGGGGAAAGACACAAGATGAAGACAGAAATCTAGCAATTGTATCTCTAAATCTAGGAACAGCGCTAGGAGCTGAAACAGAATGGTTATACTATTTGTGCTGTTTACAATATACAATTAGTACTATGTTGTTGTTGTTGTTGTTGTGTGCCGTAGAGTCAGTTCCAACTCATAGCGACCCTGTATAGGGTTTCCGAGGCTGTAAATCTTTACGGGAGCAGAAAGCCTCATCTTTCTCCTGTGGAACAGCTGGTAGTTTTGAACTGCTGACAGTGAGGTTAGCAGCTCGATTTGTAACCACTGCGCTACCAGAGCTCCTTAATTAGTACTACAGTGGCAGGTATATGAAATATGAAAATTCACAGTCCAAAACCCAGACTGACCCTTTGACACTGTCATCATCTTTACCCTGGTAAGCTACTGAGCAAAGCACACTAGTCTCTTTCTTTGTCTGAAGCTATTTCCTTTCTTACAGCTTTCTGGGGCAAGATGTGAAGAAAATTGTGTCAATTCTGAACAGTAAGTATCTGAGAATCCCAGCTGGGAGGAGGGAAATGCAGACAAAAGTATCAGCAACATCATCAACACACACACAAAATAAGGGTCAAGATGTCATTAGACATCTCTGACTTCCCTTATTTATTTCCACTGAAATGAGCATCATCCTACTCCTATCACAGGCAGACTACCCAGAAATAGACATGTGTTTGTGTCATCCTAAGTACTCAGAATCAGACTGCTGACAGCATTTTTCCAAAGCCAATCTTCCTATTAGGGAGGAGACTTTATCTCCACTTATTCAGTCATACAAAAAACCATATGAATAAACCAAACCAATAGCTATCTCCTCAATTCCTACTCAAAGTGACCCTAAAGTGACTTATAGAGACTTTTGAAACACTCTCTCACCCAGGCTTCTTTGTGACTCAAGAGAGACTGCATTCAGTATCTAGTCACAGACTGATGATGTAGCTCGGTGATTTCCAAAAGAGCACCACCACTTCAAACCTGAAAAACATTTTTTTAAGTTTGTATAGCATGTTAATATCACTTTGGTATAATTATCCATCCCTTAATCGAAATCTAGAGTCCTGATGTGTCTTTATAGGAGCAGTACTGGCCAGCTAACCACAAGGTCACCGTTCAAGCCCACCAACTGCTCCTTGGAAAGCCTATATAGTCCCTATGAATCAGATCTGGCTCAATGGCATGTAACAACAACAACCTAAATCCATCACAATTAGGTATTATGCATACAGCCAGGATATAAAAATAAACATGCATGAGATTCATTCCACCTGGAGGACAGCTAAAAATAATCAGGGAGAGCCTGAATAAAGACTTGTTCAGGCTCAAGGGAAATACATTGCCCAACAGCCACAGTGGTTAAACCCAGGGGCTTTGGTTTTTGTTATGTGCACATTGGTTAATTGACACATGCTGTCAGAGATTTTAGAAACCTACAACTATTGGAGGAGGCCTGGTGTGGCTCTGTAGGATAAGCACTGGACCACAAAGTAGGTTTGAACCACAAGGTCAGCAGTTCAAACTCACAGCCACTCCTTGGAAACCCTATACAGGCTCGCTGTAAGTCAGAAATGACTTGACAGCACTTAACAACACAACAGTTACTACAGGAAGAGCTCTGGTGGTACAATGATTAAATGCTTGACTGCTAAAGTTAGTGGTTCAAATCCACTTAATGGCTGCAAGGGAAAAAAAGACAGTGATATGCTTCCATAGGAGTCCTGATGTGGCACTGTGGGTTAATGTGCCATACTGCAAAGCTGTTTGAACTGCAAGGTGGGTGGTTCAAGCTCACCAGCCACTCCTTGGAAACCCTATACAAGGGTTAGAACCAACTTGACGGTACTTACCAACAACATCAACATGCTTCCATAAAGATTACAGCCTAGAAACCCCTATGGGGAAGCTCTACTCTGTTACATCGGTCACTATGAGTTAGAATAGACTCAGTGGCATCTAACAACATCACCACCACCATAGAAGGATCATTCTCCTACAGAATCAGAATCTTTATGCTGTAGAACTTTCAGAGGGGCTTTTTGAACTGAAGAGGAACATGAGAAGTCCTAGATGTGATATTGTTTTCATGAAAAAGCAAACCATGTTTTCTAAAGATAGAAATGGATTCTAATAAATTTCATTATCTGTGTCAAAAACTATTCTTGTTGCTAAGTGCCATCGAGTCAGGTCCAACTCATAGTGACCTTTTATAGGATTTCTGAGGAATAGCTGCTGGATTTGAACCGCCAACCTGTGGTACTTATCCTACAGTTACACACCAGGGCTATTAAATGACAAAATTTACTCATCTTCAAAGAAACACATTTCCCTTCCCCTCACCCTCTAACCCTGCTTTAATCCTATATACTTTCTGTTTATAAAACTATTTTTTGATCCCTACAAAGAACATTTTTAGTTGCCATAATTAATTTAGAATGTTTAATTAGCTTTCCTCCTGAGTGAAAGTAGAAACTTCTACTTTTTCTCCACTTCTTGTTTGGTCTCAGTGAGCGTGTTGAAACAGCTTAAGAAACATGTATTGCTTTCATGCTCATAGCTGACATTTTCTTGACCCCCCAAAATATATACACTTTAACTTAAACATGCATTTTCAAATGCACATTTTCCCATCTTGCATTCCAAGTTCTTTTGTGTTAGTCATCGAAACCATTTATAATGGTCAAAATTACATTTTCTGTTAACACAATTTTCACAATCATTAATGCAGTTTGTCTTATAATGATTCACAAAATTGCTTACCCAATGTTGTCTGTAGTAGAAAGTACTACTTAAGGCATCCCATTGCACAAGACATGGAAGTGGTGACACCTACATTTAAATAATATAATCTGCTATGACAGTGTATGCTTTCATTATAATAAGGCATACTATATTGTACGGTATTTCTGATTCTAGAATTATCACAGACATTGACTGTATTTTTATTTTATAAAGATTTATTCTTTCTCCCTAGTTGTTTGACTACAGACTGGGTACATCTCTGGTATATATGGTAAGTTTCTGCTATGTTCCCAGGAAGACATTTTTAAAAGATTTTTATTTTCCTCAGGGGCATTAAAATTTTTCTTTCTTCAGTTTTTAAACATACTGACAGCAGGGGAAAAATGTATGAGGCAGACTGCCTACTTACCTAGCAGTTTATAAAGTTTCTTTTTCTCATCACTAACTTAGTGGCAGCATGTCAGGATTTTCTATTTCAATGCCATCTCCTCTACCTACCTGAAAGGATTATTGTGTCCTTCCCTCAAGGTTTTGCCTAGAAATTTCTCCACAGAGGGGAACTAACTTCCGCAAAAACAAGTCCATCCAAACCACCTTCAAATCTCCTATCACTTGTTCTAATTAGTTGTCTTGCTGACAAAATAAGGACGCATACTTGCATATGAGAAATAAAAGCTTTAGATCTAGTCTTATAATCTTTCTCTATATGTAATCCAAATGCAAACGTTGGGAAATGATTCTGCCAGAGTGGGAGAAACCTATCAAATGACAGAACCCTCACTTGTACCGCGGACTCCTTGCAGGTTACTAGTGGTAATTGGTGGGCTGCTTCTCCTGTGTGGTCTGACGTCAGTGTGCTTCCGCTGCTGCTGTCTGAATCGCCAGCCAAATGGGGAAGATGGGGGACCACCACCTTATGAAGTAACAGTCATCGCTTTTGATCATGACAGCACTCTCCAGAGCACTATGACTTGTGAGTGCACTTATAATACTATAACAGGGGACAGGGACCCAGGTTCAAATGATTCAAAACAACAGCAACAACAACAACAACAAAAAAAGAAGAGAATCGATTCCAATTCTTAGTGGCCCTATAGGGGTTTCCAAGGCTATAATCCTTGGGAAAGCAGGTTTCTAGGTGTTTTCTTTGGAAGCAGATCCCCAGATGTTTTCTCCGAGCTGATTGGTTGGAACTGCTTTGGGTTAGTATCAGAACACTTAACCGGGGCACCATTGTTGTTAAGTGTCGTGGTTCTGAATCCTAGTGTGTACAATTTCTGAGGTTGTACATCTTTGTTATTGTTGTTGTTAAGTGCCATCGAGTCGATTCCGACCCATAGTGAGCCTGTATAGGGTTTTTAAGGAGCAGCTGGTAAACTTAAACCACCAACTTTGCAGTTCAAACTACTTTGCAATCTGACGCATTAGCCCATAGTGCCCACCAGGACTCCAAGCTTCATCTTTTTCTCTAGGAGTGGCTGGTGACTTTGAACTGCTAACTTTGTGGTTAGTAGTCTAGTGCTTATCCTATAGCATCATTAACGCACATCAATCCTGCATAGCGACTAATGAGCACCTGGTGGGTTTGAACTGCTGACCTTGTGATTCAAACCAACCTTGTAATCCCATGCTTTATCCTACAGCACCACACACCTTTTGTTGTTATTGTTGTTGTTGTTGTTGTTAAGTGTCATCGAGTCGGTTCCGACTCATAATGACCCTGTATAGGGTTTCAGAGGAGAGACTGATGAGTTTGAATCATTGACCTTTAAGTTCAAATCCACCTTGCAGGACCCACATACCATTATTGTTCCTCTAAATGATCAGGAGGGTACAAAAGTATAGAAACATTGATTTCAAAAACATTGATGATTCTAGAACGTGGGTTGATTTTAATATCTGGGACTCTAATTGTGTGGTGATCTGAACTCTCAGTATTGTATTCTCAAAAATGTGTCTGGCTAATGATAGAGTGAAGAAAAGAAGGGAAATACTGAAGGAAAGATGTTATTCAACAGCAGAAATTTCAACAGGGGCCCTTTATGGAAATACGCTCTAGTCAAAATTGGCATGGAGATAGCGGCCTGGCAACCCGGTATTACTGGAAATGTATTATAGGTAGAACTAGCCAGTTTGTAAATAACCTTTCCCCCCAAAAAAACCTCATTCTAAATTTGTTGAATTTTGTGAAAAGCTAAGTATTCTATTATCTATGTCTTTAGATAAAATAATAGTATGTGCTTATAGCTTATTATTCTTCAAATCTTGATATACTAAGTTTTAGCCTCAGCATATCCTGTGGTGATCATAAAACAATTTCCCCTGTTTTCTCTGTCCTATTACTTTGTTTCCTAAATCTGGGGAGTAGCTGCTAATCAGAACATCAGGTTCCAAAACACTGTCATATTTCTTTTGAAGAAAACAATGTAGTTTACAGTTATTTACTTCTTACACCTCCCTTTTTTCACTGTTATCTCAGAAACGAGATTAATGAAGCAGCAAATATATATTTTGAAAGCGTCTGCAGTACCAAAGGGATGGTGTAAATTGTTTCAAGTCTGCAAAAGGGAGAGGAGAGAGTTGTGGGAAATGGGAGTAAACTTTAAATTATTCAAGGATACAAGAGAAGGCAGGTCTTTGTAGCAGAGATGAAGTTGATTTCTGAGCAAGTTTTACAGGGTTTTCACCAAATTTGTGGCTAGGAGTAAAAATGAATTTAGATCCTTGTTGAGAATGAAGGGACATTAAGTGTGATGTAAGTCTCTGCTTTCTGAGCATGCTAAGATTATTTGAGCTCTACTCCTTCTTTCCCTGTCAGCCTTGCAGTCCGTCTTTGGTCCTGCTGCTCGAAGAATCCTGGCTGTAGCTCATTCCCACAGCTCCCTGGGCCAACTGCCTTCCTCTTTAGACACCCTCCCAGGGTATGAAGAAGCTCTTCACATGAGTCGCTTCACTGTAGCAAGGTGTGGACAGAAAGCCCCTGATCTACCCCCGGTGCCAGAAGAAAAACAACTGACTCCAAGGGAGAAGGAGTCTCCTCAAATAGAGCACTCTTCTAATTGATGGGAACTTGGGTTTTATTCATGGAGGTGGGGCTATCTCCGGAGACTCCATAGCACTGTGGAACATTTCCTTTTCTAACCTTTAGAAAGTTTAAGATGATGTTTAAACATTAGTCTGTAAAAAAAAAAAAGATGGGTTCTCACTCCTCATTCTCAGTGACATATATTTTCTGATATTGAATACTTTTATCAGGGGTCCTGGTGTATCACCATGGGATAAGCATTGGACTGCTAACCACAAGGTCAAACCCAGCAGACACTGCTCAGAAACACTACACACTGTTGCTGTGAGTTGGAACCCACTTTACAGCACTTATCAACCAAAATGACAGCCAGGAATTCACATTCTTTATCCAGTGCTCAAAGCTGCAACTAACCATTAGCTATGCTGATTACTCCCAAACAGACACGCAGCAAAGGTCTCTTAACTGCCTTCCTTTATCCAGTGCATATGAAATACCTTTACCCATGTGACACTGCAAGATGCTTTTCTCTGCCAACTAGTGGATAGTGGTATACCTGAGAAGAAAGACCCCAATGTAGACCCAATCATCAACATAATAAATTTTATTCATATACTCTTCCTCAGAGAACTTTATATTGAAAGAGAATGATCATCTTGTACATCATATAATACCTAACTGGACATCCAGAGTCCAGGGGTGGGATGGTCAGTATGGGCTAAAGGAACATGATATTAATTGGCACTCTGAATATCAAGGTTTCTCTCTCCTCCCACCAGCATCAGGACAAGACCAGACAGTGTTTCATTCTGTTCTGCATAGGGTCGCTGTGAGATGTTACTGACTCGATGGATCCTAACAACAACAGCATAAAATGCAGTAACAGTTCTGTCAATTCTCCATTGCCTCTCTCAGCAAATACACACACACACTTTTCTAACTTAATTTTATGACAACTCTGTATGAATAGCGTTGTTTTGCTTCCTTTTACCTTCCTACTTTGCCTACTTAAAGCACAAGACATCCATCATGACTCTCAGTACATTAGTCTCTGGTGGGAGGGTCCTCACTGCCACCTAGTGGACCCATGGAGGAAAATCCATTCTCCCTTTTGGGCCTCTGGCACTAAAGGAACAAAGTTTGAATGGTTTATTCCTATGTTATTTTTCTGTTGTGTAATGCAAAACCGCCCATTAATAATAAAATACTAACTCCAAAAAGTATTTTTATTGAAAAATTGAAGACTTGAAGTGTAATGGGGGAAGAACTACTCACCATGACCATAAAGAAGTCACTGAAATCTTTGAATCTAAGTTTTCTCATCTGTAAAATAGGGGACAATACCGAATGGGATTGTTGTGAGGATCAAATATACTAAACATGTGCTACATGATTTGTTAAACCTTATACTCATGTGTTTGTACTTATTACTGACATCAAATCTTAGCCAGCTTGCTCTTATTTTACTGAAAATTGTGACCTGATTCATCCCTTTGCCTGCTTGCTATTCCTAAATTATACATGAGGTGGGTTTATTGTATCAATAAATATTTATGCTTGAACTAAACAACTAAAGATATAAGTGATTCCTTTTAATATGTTCTGGGTAGAGGTATGGGGTATTTGAGAATAGTCATTGTTGATGACACCATTAACTTTAGTACTGATGAAGGCAATAGAGACCCTGGGACTGGATGATTAGTGCAGCACATCATTAAATGCATTCTTGGAATGCTCGCTCAGCCCAGACAAAAAAAATGTTCTCAATACAACTTGCTGGTGATCTGAATTTATCCTGAGTAATTTATTAAATTGCCCCTGGAAAATACTGAATTCTTAATAGTGCATGAAGTAAATGTATTTTGCCATTGAAATTGAATAATTTCATCAACACACATTCCTAGGATATTTATTCTAGGATCTTTCATCCACCAAAGCATCACAATGTTGAAGAAGTTAAAATGTTGAAATGCAAAGAAAGGTCTTAGATGAAATTCTGCCTATAAAAGTCTTATTCTAAAGAGAACACAACCCTCTTATTTTAAATCAGGAATTATTTTAAGCTACTTTATACTATGTCTCCAGCGTTAAATGTGCCTCGTCCTGATCGGTTTCATGTGACAGTCTTAATACTATTTCACAGTCTTATCAAGTAGTCCACTTCCTTGTTACTAGATGCTGTGAAGTCTATTTTAACTCATGGCAGCACCAAATGTGTAGAGAAGAATTGTTAGGGAGGGTTTTCAAGGCTGTGGTCTTTTGGAACCAGATCACCAAGACTATCTTTGCATTTTCCTCTAAGTGGATTTGAACTGTCAACCTTTCACATAGAAGTCAATTACCTAGCCATTTCAGAACTCAGAGAGTGTACACTCTTTTTAGCCTCCCATTTTGTCACAATCAATCAGCATGCAAACTGGCTTTACTTCCTTGCCTACTGTATTCAAAACACATTGAGCACCTTAATCAATGTTACCATTGCTATCAAAAATTGTTTAACTTCTCTTAACTTTATTGCCATCTATCTTTCCATAATAAAACATTAGATCAATGAAGCTATCTGAGTCTCCTAAACTCCTAAATTGCTGAGCCGGTCTTAAAAAAATCTCTCAATTCTACTGAATGATGCCATTATATGTGTCTAGTTTCCAACAACAGCTAAATGTGCATTTAGCATTCCTTCTAGATTTCTTTGAGCGATTTTGACATTTCTCTTCAACCCTCCTACATCACCTACTTATTAACTGTTGGCATGGAACCAGTGACTGTGGGAGTCATGGATTCTTACCAGGTGAAGCACTTCGTCTCCAAAATGGGAAACCACTTCCTGATGATGCATTTCTGTAGTCATGTCCTGGGGTTGAAGATTTCTGCAGCAAGAGGAATTTGAAGACAGCTGCAAAGTTGCCTGTAATAGGTCTTATGTAGGAAAATGGAGTAAAACAGTGGTGGGATTTGGGCCTGAGGATGATCACTTTGTTGTAGAACTGATTTACAATTATGGCATCGGAGATTGTAAACACGGCAGTGACTTCACAGGTATCACACTCACCTCTAGTCAGGCTGACAGCAGTGTTAGGAGCGTAGAGTGACCACTCGGAGAAGTTTCAGAAGGTGTCATTGAAACTGAGGCCTCAGGAGGATGTAAGTTCTATTTGCAGAATTGCAATCTACCTCAGCCAGATCCTGCTTTAAAAGCAACTCCAGCAGTGTCTGATTTTCTTGAACTACTGATCTAATAATCTACTGGGAATGACAATTTATGAAAAAGATGAACAGAATAAGAGGGTTTTGCTGAGCTATGCTGACAACCAGTGTAAGCTGCAGCCACAGAGTACCAAGGGTACTGCTGATCATGGTGCAGCTTTTGGAAGAATTGCCTTTTCTTGCCTCAGACATAGACGATTTGATGAAAAGGGAGAGTCTAGAAGATTCTGACTCCCCCAGTGAGTCTGGATATCCCAGGGAAAGCAACAGTACCAGTGGTTCTGAAATTTGCTTTGTAGAGGACAAAGAATTCTGAGAACTTTTCAAGATGGATCCAGCAACATCATTTGTAACAAGCATTTGTATCTCCCATCCAGTATCTGTGAGCCTGATGTGTCCATTCATAATAAATGTCTCTACAACTTTGTTGTTTCCTGTACAGGCCAGGAGGCCAATGGGATGAAGATTTGTGATTTACAATCTTTGAAGCTCTGATATGTTGCATATATGAATCCTTGATTTTTGTTCCAAATAAAAGTGAACAAACTTGCTGTAATCTAATGTTCTGTCACTGGACTAACACATTTTTTTTTTTTTTTTTGGCAATTGTATTAATAACAAATGATTGTCCAGAATGAAACAGTTATATGGAACATTACCCTTGGTTGGGGATAGGAGGACTTTTGATGAACTGTGAATAATGTAAAATTGACGACAGCTCGACTCTTCAAATACATTCAAGTCAACTGTTTATAACAGGAATATTCTCAGCACCTAAGAAGAATCATCATTATGGCATTCCAGAGTTTTACTTTGTCATATCTTGACTTTTAAAAAATGTTCATGGAAATTTTGTTCATTGGACCAAAAGATTTGGTTGACACCCTCATCATCATTTTAAATATTGAGTGACAAAAGAAAACAGGAAGGATTGAATGTGGTAAGAGCTGCACATATCTGGTTCTGCACTAGTTTCTTTTAATGTTTCTTGTAGTTTTCTCTTTGATTCTTTTCGAACAAGTAGATTTTAATAGCTGGAAAGATAATTATATTGAGTTGCTGTTAGGCACATTAAAATAAATTTTTGGTTCATAGTGATCCATGTGACAAAGTAGAACTGCCCCATAGGTTTTCTCTCTGTTAGTGTTGTTGTTGTTATGTGCCGTGGAGTCGGTTCCGACTCATAGCGACCCAGTACAGGGTTTCCGAGGCTGTAAATCTTTACGGGAGCAGAAAGCCTCATCTTTCTCCCTCGGAACAGCTGATAGTCTCGAACTGCTGACCTTGCGGTTCATAGCCCGACTGGTAACCACTATGCTGCCAGAGCTCGGGCTGCCAACCTCAGGGTCAGCAGTTCTAAACTACCAGCTGTTCCGCAAGAGAAAAATGAGGCATTCTGCTCTCATAAAGATTTACAGCCTCAGAAACCCTGTACAGGGTCACTATGAGTCGGAACCGACTCCACGGCACATAACAACAACAACAACAACAATCTTTATGGGAGCACATTGCCAGTTCTTTCTTCCATGGAATCACTGGGTGGGTTGAATCATCAACCTTTTATATAGCAACCAAGTGCTTAACCATTATGTTATCATGTCTCCTATATGCACATTAGTAAATTATGCGTGTGTATGTTTCTGCTATCAAGCCATTGCACCAGTCTTTGAGACTCTTTATTTCAGTGACTGGTGACAGGCTCAGATTTGGGGGAAGAAACTGAAGAGAATTGATCCAGTGCATACGAATTTCAGAATAACACATATAAAATTACTTCTTAATCAAAGCTTCAAATGTTCTTCCTTGCTGGGAAGGTAGAATATGGTAATTT